ACGAAAACCTGACCAACCTAGGAAAATAGCGAAGAGACCTGTGAGGACGGCGATGAGGAGTTTTTGTTTGCGCCCATATAACCACGAATGAAGCACCACAGAACAATGGAACATAAGGCACGTATAACGAGAAAAACGCAGAGTCAACGAACGAAGACAAATATCCAAGCGGACGCACAAGATTAGCGAAAACACCTGAATGTTGGATTTGAGGCTGGCCAATCAGAGACCATATGCAAATTTCCTTCTGTCATGCCCCGTTTCTGCCATGAGCCCTCTTCTCCACCAGGGGCTCCTATTGAAGGTGGCCAATCAGAGACCATATGCAAATAGCACCGCAGCGGCAGCCAATCAGAACGCTGCCACATACTCCTTCCTCTGTCCGATACAAACATTCTCTTTTATTATATATATAGAGATATAGATATAGATATAGATATAGATATAGATAGATAGATTAACTTCATAAAATATTCTGAAAATAACAATAATAATATTATTTGAGAACAATTCTTCAAAACTGCTTGATTTTAAAAACAAATTAAGCTTCAGCCTATTCTGTGGAGCACATTTTGGGTGTGCTAATAATTTTTATGTTCTCTATTTATACAACATCATCAAGAAAAAGAGATTATAAGTGTCAACAGCTTGGTAATTAGATGTGCATTTTAACATGCCCTCAAGGATTCAGATGTAAAAGATAATGACTTGTGCATTAACTTTTCAGAGAAACAAATGGAGCTTTGGAACTGCTTGTTACCTTTGCAATTAACCTAAATACAGAATACTTTCTCTCAAGGCAAATCCAAAGCAAATTGACATGCACATAACATCTTTAAAAAACACCTTTTTCCATGTCACTGTTTTATGATGTTACAGTGCAAAGAGGTATGAAACCTGTGGCTGTCTGCTGCTCCTGTTCTAGTGTATCATTGGCCAGAATAGCATACACTGCTGGACATTGAAGGAATTCAGGCTTTCCAGTGCTGTTATACACAAGTTGTTGTAGGGAAAGAACATCTCATTCCTTTATTTTTCTAGGTTGTGTGTCTTTGTGTGTATGTTTTTTGATTTTTGTTAAATCTGCTGATGAAAAAGAGAGAAATTTTTATTTTGCACCTATTCTATCTTGGTATATTCAAGATCTTTTTTATTTACTTAGAAATAAAATAAAGACCTTTTTTATTTGCTAAGAAGGAGCCCCCAGTGATGCAATGATTTAAACCTTTGTTCTGGCAGGACTGCTGATCGAAAAGTCAGCGGTTCAAATCTGGGGAGCAGGGTTAGCTCCCGTCTGTAAGCTCCAGCTTCCAATGCAGGGACATGAGAGAAGCCTCCCACAGGATAGTAAAACATCCGGGTGTCCCCTGGACTACATCTTTGCAGATGGTCAATCCTATCACACCAGAAGCGACTTGAAGTTTCTCAAGTAGCTCCTGACAAATTTTTTTTCTTCTTCCTTAGAATAACGACATATTCTTATGCGTTATATACTAATTCCCTAGGTTAGACAATGTTTTATAAACTGCAGATATGGGGTTTTCCCCTTGTGCCCACATCCAGAAATGACATAGAATGAATTGATAAAATAATTACCTGAAATGAATGTACAATCCTTCCAGTCCTGAGCCATCTATTAAAATAGTACACCTTTCCCTTTTTTTTCTATTTCATGTAATGATCCTTGTTTGTCTAAAAGGTTTGTGTTTACTAGTTTCACTCATGTACCCCAGGGCATTATTGAATGTGCAAGTGAATAGATGTGATTGTACAAGGTAGCATGTCTCAGGTACACGTTTAGTAGGCCTGTGCGGTTTCGTTCGTTAATTCGTTAAACATTTGTTAATTTTTGCATATACGAAATGATAACAAAACATATTTTCAAACCCGGAAGGGTTTTTAAATATCGAAACGGAAGGCGCCAAAAAATTTTGTATTTCCGTCCATTTCGGAAATACGTAAGATGGCCGCCTGGCTTGCTGGGAGCTCTCCTCTCTCCGCGCCGGCTGAGCAAGCGAGCGAGAGGGCGAGCGGCGAGCGAGAGGGCGAGCGGCGAGCGAGAGGGCGAGCGGCGAGCAAGAGGGCCCGCCAGAGTGAGTGCCTGCCTTCCCTTAATTTCTCTTCCCTATTCTACTAAATTATTTAATAATTAAATTTAAAAAATATTTAAAAAATATTGAAAAAAAAGGCCCCATCTTTACAAAATGTTTTGTTAATATTTACGAAATTTTGTAAATACCGAAACTTTTTTTTGGAAAGTTTTGTAATTATTTTAAATATCGAAACAAAAAAACACCCCAATTACAAATCGATTTTAGAAACAAATTTTTTCTTGATCAAACAGGCCTAACGTTTAGAACATTGACCCAAATATATTTCACAATATAGCTACTGTATATCTTTAGATCTACTGCTATCAAAAGATTAAGAAAAGGCATGCAAATTTTTCTTGAGCTGGAGATGAAACTATTTTTGATAAAGGTTTGTAATTAGGCTGAAGTTCAGTTCTTGCTATCCTGAGAGTTAGTTAGTTAGTTAGTTATCCTGAGAACATGACTGGTGACATGGCAATATCTTTTCAAAAGTTACATTTTTATAGATGTTGATTGGTATGTTTCTTCAAAATGCAGTTTTACAACTTTAGACTAAAACGATGTTGATATTAATAATTGTTGTCTTCTTACATGACAGTTCTGAACCTTCTGAAAGTGAAGAAGATGGGGACAAGCCATTACAATCTCCATGTAGCAATGGTCCAGCCCAACGCTCAAATGTAATAAAGGAAAACGAGGATGAGGAGGAGGATTTAAACTACTGTAAACTCCAAACACTAAAAGAACTTTTCCCTCAAAAAAGTGACAAAGAGTTATTACAAGTACAGTAATATAATTTTGGATTCTTACCAGTTTTGAAGGGAGCATTCTCACACATAGGACTCTGGTATATTTGAAGACAAATTTATTTCACAAAAATCTTGTAGTAGTTATGAAGATAGGCTCATTTAGTCTACTTGAGCAACATTGTATAGAATATGAAGTAAGCTTCTTATATACACTACATTACTAATTTAGCATTGTGACAAAATGTAGCTATGTGTTGGGATGTATTGTTTCAAGTCTTGTCTTATAAATTCACTGTGCCATTGTGGGCTTMGTCACCTTCTTAATACATATATTTATTTTTATTTACTTCATTTATATACCGCTTTTCTCAGCCCTCAGCAGGTTAAGAACTGGGGGGGGGGGGGGTTATTCTACTTACATGTCATGTTTTATGCATTTGTTTATTAATATATTTACCCAGTCACTTTATTTCTCAAAGCAGTTGTCACAAACATTTTTTWAAAAAAAAGATAGACAAAGACAGCAATGGCTTTTCTTGTTCTCAGTGCCTCATACAAATATTTAATGACCTAATCAGAATGTTCCATAACTGCATAGTTTGATGGGAGTCCCCATCTACTGAAATCTTCTAGCTTGCTAGAACTACTGACCCCTCAGTTTCTCTTCATCTATCAATAAAGTAACTTCTCTCAGAGCGTTCTGTGCGATTGAGTAGCTAACCATACAGAAAAATCTTCCTTCATCTTCTTTCTTAGATCGTCTCTTGCTCCTTCTTCAGTCATTTGTTTTTCTTTCTTTTTATATTGTACTGCTAAAAAGTATGTATATATTTCTCTTCACTTTGGAGGTCTTTCTCTTCTCTTCTCCACTTTTATGACCTCAACCTTTATCTTCAGACTTTGCTCTTCTTGACACAAAAAGGTTTCTTTGATGGATAGGCATTCTTACTTGGCAAAGGACATCTACTATAGCAGTTCTCCACTTATAACAGCCATTAAAATTGGACTTCATGGTTCAAGTTTTATTGCTGCAAGTTGGGGACCAGGCTACTCAAAATAGAACCTTTTTTTCTCAGCCTCAAGGAGGGCATCAAACCTCCAGAAGCAGGTTGCTCATCAGAAATTGATAATGGCTTTGATAAAAATGGCATTGGTATAGATAAAGGTCTAAATGCCAATTTCAACACCCAATAGCAATCTCTTTCATCCAGAACAAATTGGCAGCCAGTGGAGCTGCTGCAATATAGGGGTTGTCCACTCCCTGTAGCCAGCCCCAGTGAGCAACTTGGCTGCAGCTCTTTAGACCAAAGTTTCTGAACACTCTTCAAAGGAAGCTCCACATAGAGCTTGTTACAGTAATCCAGACAGGATGTAACTAAAGCATGTACCACTATGGCCAGATCTGACTTCTCAAAGAACAAGCGCAGTCAGGACATATGTTTTAATTGTTCAACGACCTTCCTGGCCACCACAGATACCTGGGCTTCTAGGCTCAGTGCCGAGTCAAGGAGGACCCCCAAAGTGCAGACCTGTGTCTTCAGGAGGAGTGTAACCCCATCCATCACAGGCTGGATCCTTATTTCCTGATCTGCCTTCCAGTTGACCAGGAATACCTCTATCTTGTCTGGATTAAATTTCAATTTGTCTGCCCTCATCCAGTCCGTTACTGATGACAGACACTGGTTTAGGGTTAGGGCAGCTTCTTTGGGTTTAGCTGTAGTAGAGTTGGGTGCCATCTGCATATAGGTGGCACCACATTCCAAAACTCCAGATGACCTCTCCCAGCGGTTTTATGTATATGTTAAAAAGAATGGAGGACAAAACAGAACCCTGAGGAACCCCACAGGACAATGTCCAGGGGTTCGAACAGGAGTCTCCGAGCACCACCTTCTGGATATGGCCCCCCAGGAAGGGCCATAGCAATTGTAAAACAGTGCCTCCCAGTCTCATCCCAGCAAGATGACCCAGAAGGATACCATAGTTAATGATATTGAAAGTCACTGAGAGGTCCAGGAGAACCAACAGGGAACACTCCCCCTGTCTAGCTTGAAATGGATTGAAATGGGTCTAGGTAATCTGTTTCATCCAGAAATCCCTGCAGTTGGGAGGCCACCACATGCTCCAAAATCTTGCTCAAAAAGGGAAGGTTGGACACTGATCAATAGTTGTTCATTATGGAGGGGTTCAGGGATGGCTTTCTAAATATAGGTCTCACATCTTCCTCCTTTTACGGAAATGGAATTTTGCCTTGTTCCAAGGAGGCATTGACCATCATCTTCACCCACTTTGCCAGTCCCCCTCTGGTCTGTTTGATCAGCCCAGAAGGGCAAGTGCTTGAGTTTGTGGACAGTGTCAGAAGCCAAAGAGACAGATAAAAGGATGGATAAGAGTTTGCATGGCTAGTCATACAACTTTCGTTCATTTCACTTTTCTTTAACTTTAATAAATTACACAAGTAATTTTTTTTTGTAAATTTCCGTAGTTTCCATAACATATACATGTTGCAAGAATCAATTTTTCATGGTATAAAATTTAAACACACTTGAACCACGTAACCATGCATCTTTTCAGATCTTTTAAATATAGTTTAAATGCATCTAATTTTTTAAAAATCTTGGTTTTGTTCTCCCGTTAGCTGATACAATCAACAAATACAATGGATGAAGCTATAGCTGCTGGCTTGAAATTGGCTGAGGAAGGTATGTAGTCATTTTATATTAATAATTCTTGCCAGGTATCCAAAATGATGCAGTTCCTTCCCCAAAAAGAGACTCTAGATAAGCAATATGTTAGTTAAGGAATTTTAAAGGAATGTTTAGGGATTGTTAATTTTATGCATGTGGCACTTTACAAACATGAGAGAGTAGATTTCTTCTCTAAGGAGTTTACATTCTTCAAAATAAACAAAAGAGGCAATAGAAGAATTGTAGAAACTGTTGGCAGGACTTTTCACTTTATTTCCTGTGTCTCCAAAGAGTCTTCTCTCTTCCTATTATCTCGTGTCAGACCTAGCCATTTAATTTGATGCATCTGTGCTGTTGGACATGATTTTTGTCAATGGAACAAAAAGCAGACCTGATCAAATGTTATTTTATCTTTCTTTGCTAAAGTGTATAAATTCAGTGGATTACATTTGCAGTTTTGAAAAGAAACCAGCATGGTTTTTCTTTGACTTTTATATAGAGGGATTTAAATATTATTTTTAGTATTTCAGGGAGGAATTAACTGGAATTTAACATGGCATATTTCATTTCTATTACCTTAGTCTTTGGTCTGGAGGACATCAGGATTAGGATCGTAATTTAGGATAGTTTGAAAAGCCTCAACTCTTGATCTTTAATGCATTTTAATATTTAATGCTTTTAACAGCACAAATGGCACGATTGTTCTTTCATGTTTGTATTTATATTTTAGTGCATTTACATAGTATCAGTTTTGTATTGTTTTATATTTGTAATTAGCCATCTTGCATCTGTATATTGGGAGAAAGCCAGGATAAAAATTAAATACATAATAATAAATAATACCTTTACTCGCATTTTGAAAAAGAGTTATGATTTTACAATTTTAAAAGTGACTTCTGTTTTATCTATTTTAATTACTAGAAAAATTCTAAACAACTTAAATTGCATTAATATTAGACTGCAAGTAGTTTCTGGTTACACTAAACTATTTTGTTGTTGTTTTAGAAGCTGGATCTCGAAAGAGGAAACTTGAGGAACGTGCTATAGATGATTCTGAAGATAATGAGGACCAAAGTGCAAAAAAGAAAAAGGTGGATCCTGTAAGTAGTTGAGCATATCCTTCTTATATACAGTATAGCAAGTGGTAGAAATCAAATGCTCATTATAGAAACTCTTGTATTCATTTAGTATGCAGTGCACAATTTAATATCTGCATTTTCAAATCAGTTTGTAGAAAAGCACTATTTACATTTGGTCAGGTTACCAGTCCTTTTTGCATAATTTTAAACTTCCTTTTTCTCATTAGAAAGGTGAAGTTTCAAAAATTGAAGAATACAGCCAAACACTGTTGATACTAATATTTTAAAACTTGTTTTTCCCAGTGAAATAATTCAGTCTTTAAATCTAACCCACAAAGACTAGGGAATATCTGGCTACAAAGTAATTACTTCTGTAAATGTTAGTACTATGTGTTGATTCTGCAAAAAGCAAACACTGAAAACCTCCAGGAGTAGGCTGTTCTACAGGGTATTTTAATTGGTATAATGAGATGAACTGAACTGTAAAAGAAATAAACCTTTTTCTGAACCATAGCTGCAAAATCCTGAAAATCAGTGGGAAAGGCGTGAAAGTTTGGTGTGCAGACTGCACAAAGAATTTCCCCACTTGGATAAGGAGGTATGTTGTGTCTGATACAAAAATTAGTGACTAATGTAATCAATGTATCTGAATTATACAGAAAGCTTACCATGGCTGCTCCTTATTTTAAAATCAGATTCTGGTTTTATAAACGAAACCAAGTGGATCAGTTCCATCTTTAGTCTTCTGTGATATTCAAGTGTTTATCTGATGGAGTGTGTAGCATATCTTTTCATCCTACCTGACAGCTGAAGTTATGGAGCTCCCAGTGGCGCAATAGGTTAAAACCTTGTGCCGGCTGAACTGCTGACCGAAAGGTTGGCGGTTTGAACCCGGGGAGTGGAGTGAGCTCCTGTATGTCAGCTCCAACTTCCCATGCAGGGACATGAGAGAAGCCTCCCACAGGATGGTAAAACATCCAGGTGTCCCCTGGGCAGCTTCCTTGCAGACGGCCAATTCTCTCACACCAGAAGTGACTTGCAGTTTCTCAAATCACTCCTGACACAAAAAAAGTTAAAGTTATGGGCACTTGGGAATTTGCTATAATTCAACAGTCACATGACTTTGGACTTTTCTAAGCTTGAAAGCATTTGTATATTTTACTTGGGCACAGGTTTTATTGAATTCAGTGGCACTGTTCCCTAAGTAAACATACATAGCATTGTGTTGTTCTTTTTTACTTAATTGGCTTTTGTTCAATCTGTTCCCACACGAATCTTTGCTACACAGAGTTGCCCTGCATACTGTGATCATTAATGGTTTAAGTATTAGTTGGGGCAGGAGCAGAATTTTGCAGCATGCAGTGTTTTTGTTCAGGACTATATCTTTTCAGAATATTAAATTTCATTCTCTTCTACCCCATGGGCCGCCCATCCCCACCCCTGCATCCCATGACTGTTTATCATTGAGCATGCCCAGATCACACTTAACTCTTTGTGTTCTGTCCCGTTCCCCACACACACAGACACACACACATACAATTTTTTTTCCAAACTAGTTTTTTTTAAAAAAAATTATTTTTTTTAAAAAAAATAAATAGCGTGGAATTTTCTTCAAACATATTTATACTCTTCTGTGTGCATGGTGCTGTTTTGTCCGCATAATTATCAGCACTTAGAGTTGGATAATACTTTCATATTAATATATAGTTTTGGAGCAGTCTGGCTGAAGACTCAATGAATAATCAGTCCGTCCCCCCGTTTCCCCCCCCCCCCGTCCAAAAATAGAAAATAAATTGTTCTTTTGTTCAAAAATAGTTGATTAAAGTCTTGTGTATATTGTTTTGGAACTTAGGGAGTTTTGATTCTTCTGGACTATTTTCAGTGATTTTGATACGCATAATGAAAATGTGTGCAATAAGTGTGATAATACCTTGCTCTTTATAGGTTACTATTTCAGTGACTGTACAGAAAATCTTGTGATATCTTTCCTAATTAGGAACTGAGGGATGTGCTTCGGGAACATAACTGGATATATCAGGAAGCTATGGAGTCTTTAAGGGTCTTTATGGAAGATCAAGAGGGTAACAACTACTTAATTTTTATGAATATGTATTGTCAAGAAGCATAATCTGTTTACTGCCTTAATATGTTTTATTTCTGTGAGGGAGTTCCATAACCTCTTGTATGGATGTTTGGTAATTGTTTTAAATAGAGGGAAAAAAGTATATTGCATTTAGTGTGAGGAAATTTATCCCTTAATATTAAGGGTCTTGCAAATGATTAAAACATGAAAACCTGCCATTCTTTGAAACTTTGCACAAGAATTTTCAGCAGAGTTATTGAGATATAGTTTTATAATGTCTGTGTCTTTTTGTAAAAGCTTAGTGCATAGATCCTTTCCTTGTAAAAACATGGACAAAAATTGTATAGCACTTTACATGTTGTTGAACTGCAATTCCCAGCAATCAATCAAACAAACATATATATATACACACAATTCCCATCAAACACATGTACACACAATTCCCTTCTGTCCTGAGCAGCAGAAACAGTCAATAATGCTAATAGTTGAATATCTAAAAACATGGAGAGCCACATAGGCTCTCTCACATAGAGTGTCATCATCTGTTGTTCTTTCTACTTGCAGTCCTTTAAATGACATGTTATTTGACTTTCACAGTAGACATCAGGGCATGGGTGACTTTGCTATCCAGGGAGGGAAGGCAAGAGAAACTCATAACATTCTCAGCACTTGAGCAGAAGTAACTTGCTTTTGTGGATCCCTTATCATTCTTATTTTAGTCAACTTTTCCACACGCAGAGATTTGTAAGACTTCAGCAACACTGTATGCATTTCATGTAACCTAAGCAACCACTATCATTCTTCCTTAATGTACATTCATTTCTGCAGTTACTGTTAGATTCATTTAGACAGCAAGCTGTGATAGTTGTAGCATGTTCCAATCTTTATATAGCCTGAAACACTTATTACAGTTCTGTCAAGATACATACAAGCATTTTGATATCCTCCCTCCCTTGTTCCTAAATCCCGCTTCTGATATGCAAGTACATCGCTTCCTTAGTACAGGCATGATCGGAATTTTTGCTGGCATTTAAGTAAATGTTCACATATTTTCTCTGCCAGAGAACTGGCACATGCTAGTATTAGTATTCCTAACACCAATGGCTTCTCTTTCCTTGCCATCATATTGCTTTCATTGACTTTTCAATAGAAAATGCTTGCTTCGAGGAAAAAATAAAAACATCCTTAGAATTATCTTACCTTAAATATAGCATTCCAGGCAGATGAGACTTTGAACTAATTTATGTTAATATTTATGAGGGCCCGTGGTGGCACAGTGAGTTAAACCACTGAGCTGCTGAACTTGCTGACCGAAAAGTTGGCAGTTCGATTCTGGAGAGTGGAGTGAGCTCTTGCTGTTAGGCTCAGCGTCTGCCAACCTAGCAATTTGAAAACATGCAAATATGAGTAGATCAATAGGTACCGCTTTGGTGGGAAGGTAACGGCGCTCCATGCAGTCATTCTGGCCACATGCCTTTGAGATGTCTATGGACAATGCTAGCTCTTCGGCGTAGAAATGGAGATGAGCACCACCCCCAGAGTTGGACATAACTAGACTTAATGTCAGGGAAAACCTTTACCCTTAATTATGAGGGTTTCCTATCTTCTCCTTCCCTCTGTAAGATATTGGCTTCATTCAAATCTTGTTATGGGGGTTGGGACACCCCATGAAGGAAGATGGCATCTAGCACAGGAGACTGTAACATTGTGGGGGCTTAAATACAAGTGCTTTTTACTTGAAGAAGAGAACCTTAGGATAAAACCTTTTAAAAGTTTTCAAAGAATGTGTTGAAAGGTACTGGCCATGGAATACAACAGAAATGAGTACCAAGCAAAGTGGCAAGTTCTCATATTGTCTTCAGAAAGATACACATGTGCAGATTATGCTTCCATGTAGCCATTTCTGACATTGAAGAACCACAAATTAGATGTTAGGTGTCATAAAATTAGGCAAAGCCACCTTTTCTAATTTATCCAGCCAGTCTGCTTTTTTCCTACATTAGTTTCCCCATCCAAATAGCATAAAGTTTGACGGTATTCTCCCTCCCTTGACACCAGGCTGATGAGAAAAATCTCCCCTTTGTGGAGTCAGCTAATAAAAGTATACATTGTATGCACTGGCAACTCCATCTGTTCTTCTTGTTAGCTTCTGTACATTAAATGCTTAATCCTTGCAGATACAGCCTAGAACTATGTCCATGCTGACTGCATGTGTGTACAAGCTGCTGTCGCTTACTGGGCTCATGCCAGTAACTAACAACATTACATATAAATGAATAAAGAACTGGCTGTACTCACAAAAATCTTCAAGCTAGCTGGAATAATAATTAAGACACAATTCCTAATGTGTCAGGCTACTGTCATGTTTGAAAGCAGGGGTAGGCAGCTGGGGTGGTTTTGAGGGCCAATTTTCTGCTCCTAGATTTGTGGGGGAAGATAACAAGAAATGAAAAAGGGTAAACATCAAAGACCTTGAAATGATGAGTTATTGGGTATTTTGTTTGTGGTGCAGTGCAAGGAAGGACCCTGTTACCAGTGTTGTGATGCGAGGGAGGGTCCTGATTTCAGTTGCTGTAATAGGAATCTTACTTTTGGGGGGTAGGGGTGTCTGGTTATTTGTTTCTTTCTGCATAACAATTGCCATGGCAGTGGGGTTGGACCGGATACCCTTTGCGGTCTCTTTCAACTCCAGCTAATAGTGATAATTAAATTTAATGTGAAAAAGTGCCATCTTAAAAGTGTTGTGAATGAAGGAGCTGAGTGGAATAAATAAAATGGGCTATCCCTATTTCTTAGACAAGGCTTGTGCAACCTGTGGCTCATGGTGCCTATGAATGGGCCCAGTACAAAATTGTATGCTTACTTAAAACATGATGAGATTGTGGGGTTTTTTTGTAACTCAATTGTGTAGTTTTAGATCATGAACTTTTAAAAGGTTTTATCCTAAGGTTCTCTTCTTCAAGTAAAAAGCACTTGTATTTAAGCCCCCACAATGTTACAGTCTCCTGTGCTAGATGCCATCTTCCTTCATGGGGTGTCCCAACCCCCATAACAAGATTTGAATGAAGGGAGATGGGAGAGGGAGAAACCGTGGAGGCCGTGACAGACTTTGTATTTCTAGGTGCAAAGATTACTGTCAGATGCAGACTGTAGCCAGGAAATCAGAAGACGCTTACTTCTTGGGAGGAGAGCAATGTCCAGTCTCGATAAAATAGTGAAGAGTAGAGACATCAGACTGGCAACAAAGATCCGCCTAGTCAAAGCCATGGTATTCCCTGTAGTAACCTACGGATGTGAGAGCTGGACCTTAGGGAAGGCTGAGCGAAGGAAGATCGATGCTTTTGAGCTGTGGTGTTGGAGGAAAGTTCTGAGAGTGCCTTGGACTGCGAGAAGATCCAACCAGTCCATCCTCCAGGAAATAAAGCCCGACTGCGCACTGGAGGGAAGGATACTAGAGACAAAGTTGAAGTACTTTGGCCACATCATGAGGAGACAGGAAAGCCTAGAGAAGACAATTATGCTGGGGAAAGTGGAAGGCAAAAGGAAGAGGGGCCGACCAAGGGCAAGATGGATGGATGGCATCCTTGAAGTGACTGGACTGACCTTGAGGGAGCTGGGGGGGTAACGGCCGACAGGGAGCTCTGGCGTGGGCTGGTCCATGAGGTCACGAAGAGTCGGAGACGACTGAACGAATGAACAACAACAACAACCAGGACTGGGAATAGAATAATCTGAGTCTTAAATTTACAAAGATTGGAGGTTATCCATAATTTGTATTATAATTGCAAACAGTTCAGCCAGAAGATCTGATCAATGCTTTTTAAAGACCCTCTGAATAGGGTGGTGCATAATTAGGATTATTGTGCAAGGGTGGGTATCACAAAAATTATGCACTGGCACTTTTTCCTTCCTTCCTTCCTTCCTTCCTTCCTTCCTTCCTTCCTTCCTTCCTTCCTTCCTTTCTTTCTTTCTTTCTTTTTGCTCATCGAGTATTGTTACTATTAGCATATTTTATGTGTGGATCAAGAGAATTCTTCATCTTCCAGTATGGTCCAGGGAAGCCAAAAAATTGGACAACCTGTCCTTAGGTGCTACTATAGCTCCTGTGACTTCTGCAACTGATGTGCCTAAGTTTGGCAGTGGCAATGGAAACCCCACTCTAGTGACAGTATACTAGGACAGTGGTTTTCAACCTGTGTGTTCACATTTGTTTTGGCCCACAACTCCCAGAAATCCCAGCCAGTTTACCAGCTGTTAGGATTTGTGGGAGTTGAAGGCCAAAACATCTGGGGACCCACAGTTTGAGATGCACTGTACGAGGAGCTAGCTGCTGTTTCAAGGAAAATGGCTTCTTACCCAGACATTAGGACAGTTTGTAGATCCTGATGCTTCTTTGCAGCAGTAGTTACTGATGAAAGATTTGAGGGTAATGATGATAAACTGTTTTCGTATGAGGAATGGGACATCTTTGACCCTTCAAAAGTTTTAGACCTCAGCTGCCAAAACCTTTAGTTGTCATGGCCAGTTGTAAGGATTTCTAGGAGTAGTTGTGCAAATATCTGGAGATGCAAAGTTTCCCCAGGTTTCCCATATATTTTGATATGGCTCTAGCAGTTATTTAGGAGATTGCACTGTTTCATTAAATATAGGTTTTAATATCTATGCTACACTGAAGACTTTCTAAAGTCTGACCAACATCCTCACAAGAACTCCAATGGAATGCTTATGCTTATTTTCACACACACACACACACACACATATGGGCACATAAAAACCATATTAGAGATTTCCTTAATTGAAAAAGCAGTTTACTTAATGTATGGGAGTTGCAGTTTGAGGAGCACAAGGCTAAAATCTCATTTGGATCAGTTTTCGAGATCCTGATCTTCATATACTAGGGTGAGCTGTGCTAAGTATTTCTTCCTCTGCAAGTATGGTGCTCCTTTAACTTCCAGTTTAAGTATAATGTGAATAGATTTAATTGTAGTAGCTTGGAAGTGCAAAGTTCTTAATTGTAGTAAACTTAACTGTCTTGATTTTAAATAATGTGCAGCTAAAGTCCTGCTGAATGCACTATAAAATTTATTTATTTATTTATTTACAGTATTTATAGTCCACCCTTCTCACCCCGAAGGGTGAGATGTACGTTGTGATCAGGGCGGATCACAATGTACATATACACTGCAAATATTCAATGCCGTTTTTGACATACAAGACATACAAAGAGATAGAGGCCATTCAGCAGTTCTTCATTTTGGATCCTCCTGGAGGTTGCTTGATTCGGTCACAAGGGGAGCTGTCGCTTTGTCCACTATGACTTCGAGCCTTTTTTTATCGTAGTATTGCCTTCTTGCTCTCCGGCATTTTTTTATGGTGTCATAAATTAGCCTCCCCACTTTAAGCGGTGCCTAATTTCTCTACTCACAGCTCACAGCTGTTTTCGAAGTGCTTAGGTCGACAGTGAGCTGGGCATTTTTTAACAGCTATTTTTTTAACAGCTGTTTACAGTTGGGTGCTCAACCCTGACTCGGGCTTCGAACTTGCCACCTTTCGTTTGGCAGTGATTTATTGCAACTGATTAACCAGTTGTGCTACCAGGATGTATATATCTACAGTTTAGCATTCAGTGTATTTGTTAAAAAGGCTAAAGTGCAAATCTAATTTATTGGAGTTCAACTGTCCCCTGAAAGCAATATTTGTTACTGCAGAGCAGTATAAATAAGTGAACATATATTTAAATAACTAGTTTTAGAAGAACTGAAAATAGGATACTTGACAAAAAGGTCTGCAATAGTGTTCTGAAAATAAAAATTACTCAAAAAAAATTAAGTGTTTCCTAGATGCAGAATTTTAAAATGTAAGGTTATATAGGGCAGGTTTTGATTACTGCTGTAGAAGGATGCTTTACTGTTACTGATATATGTATTCGTCTAATGTAAAGCACATCATGTTATGCAAAATACTGTTCAATAATATTTTAAAGAACAAGACACTGTATTTAATATGTACATAACTTTACTGTGATTATAGCTTTTCACTGCATTTAATAATATGCAAGAAGCAGTCCTAGTTAATGCTCTGCTTTAACCAAGTAAGATTTATATAGAAGTTGGGTAATATCAAACGGTTACTGATTTTAAAATGTACTTCTACCCTATGTACTGTAATGAAAAAGGAAAAAAATTAAGTATACTGTATTTGTACAAAAATCTGCTTCAAATATGTCAAGTACCAGAATAGTAATATGAACATGGGAAATTAGGATATACTGGACAAAATGTATTGAAATGAGGCAATAGAAACATATTCCCAACCTAAGCATTGGTAGTTTCTTATTTCCCACAGATTTTCTCTTTTATTTGTAAGTTCTCTGCATTTTTTATTATTGTTGTGTATACAGTGGCACAGAACCCTTCCAAAAATGAAGTTTCAAATGGAAAGGAGGTCACTATTAATACCCATTATCAGCAGAATGACACTAATACAAAGTTCGAAGAGACACTTTCTACAAAATCTCAGAATGACTTCAGGAAAAAAGATAGAAAGAAAAAAATCTGCAGCACTAAAAAGGACTCGCAGGTTGTGGACTATGAATCTGCCTCGGAAGCTGGTAGCTCCCTTGACGAAGACTACAGCAGCGGGGATGAAGTGATGGAAGATGGTTACAGAACGAAAATCCTTAGCTTTCTACAAAAGGCTTCCCTTAGTGAACTCACTTTGATCCCACAGTGTTCTCAGAAAAAGGCTCAGAGAATAATAGAAGTCCGTCCCTTTAACAGTTGGGAAGCTTTGGTAAGTCTGCCTTCATTTTTTTCTTTCAAATATCCACAGTATGTAATGCAGTCAAAGATGCCTTAAATCCAAGAAGACACAGATGGGTGGCCTTTTCCTGATTAGGCTAAAGCACTATGCTTGTTCTAAGCCAATAGCATTTCAAATAGTGTCAGATGACCTAATTTTGAATGAATTAAGGGGTGATTTTCCTGAAAAACACAAGCTGATTGGCTGGCAATACTGTCACTCACTCTTGAGCACTTGAAACTTGGTTCATTTCACAGCAGGAGAAGAATTTAGCTCTCATTTAGAGAGCAGTTGTTTGCAAGCCTGTTATGATCTGCTGTAGCCGAGAAACCATGAACAAGGCAAGAATGTGGCAGAATTTTTACTTCAGCTGCTTCAAAGATTCAGCAGCTCACGTCCAGGGTGGCTCCATGATTGAAAACCCCAGGATGGATTGTTTTAAAAGCTTATGTTTTTCAGGAAATTATTTTTTTAACATTAGTATTACCTTGTTGCTGGTTCCCATCTGAATCATATTGGGCTGTCTTTTTAAACTTTGGTTTTGGGAACTAAGCAACATGGCCATTTCAGGAAGAGCTGTAAGATTTTATTTTTAAAAGCAAAGATGGAAAGAAGAAAATTGGTGAGTACTTGATACACTGTATCAAACTCTGGTACTGTTTTTTCAGGTTTTTCCCCTGTTATTATGTATTTCAGGCTAGGTATATTCCAGTAAAGTGAACAGCCTCTAGCGTGACTTTACAAATTAATATGTAGTTCTTTGAAGCAAAAGTTATGGGATTTCCGTATGCCTGACTGCATAATTTTTACTCATTTTGTTTTTAGAAAAATAGAAAAAATTGACCTTTAGCCTAATTAGTTGATATGCTGAGAATTTTTTTCCCTTCAAGTAGCATTTTGTGGGGAAGGGATGCTCAAAGTACTGTGGGTTTTTTTGTATGTAATTTGTTGTTAAAAGTTGTTTTAAAGAAAACTTTTAAAATGTACTGAGGTGTATCGAGTATTTGATTTTGCGAGGCCCTAAGATAACTTGGTTGAGTTTTTGAATTAAAAGGAAATAGAATACCCATATATATCTTAAAAAGCATACGTGAATGATGTGGAAGCACAGTTTTGCAGAGACATTTCTCCAGAGACTGTTTTGCCTGCAGCCTTTCACTTTGAATGGAACATCTGTCCCTTTGGAAAACGTGTTGAGTTTTGCCTAAATGGATTATTTTCAAAAGTTACTGCTATAAGGCTGCTGTTCTTTGAAATAGTTCCGTAGGATTAAGTTGTGTGGGCCTGCTTAGATTCAAAATCCCTTTCATAAAAGGTGCTTTTGTCAGCAGGCAGAGATCTACAAAATTGCTGTAGCTACATGTCTGAAGAATTTTTAAAATGCTTGGAAGTTCAAAAAGGAGTAACTTTTACATGTTTTTATGGGAGACCATACTGAAATACAGCACGAGGATTACTTCGTTCTTTTCTTATGGTTAGCTATTACATTAAATATTTCTTAAATACTTGTAGATCGCCTTTCTGACCAGTTGGGTTTAATAACAGAAAACTATGTCGGAGAAAAAGAAGCTGGGGTATTCTTCACAACAAAGTTGTGAAGAACCATTTAAATCATATCAGACAAGCATAATGAAGTGTGGCTCAGGGAGATCTAAATATGTAAAGGCTGCCCCTCAAATTATGAAAACTACCCCTTATCTAAGAAACAGCATTCTCTGTATCTTCTATATGGAGAAATAGGTTGATTTAGATTCAAATTAAATAAATAATTGTATTCTTGAAGCATGTATGCATTTAATACCTGTGCATAATAGACTGTCTAGTTAGTCGGAGATTTCAGGAATTGGAAGAAGCATTTCCTAAACAGAGAAATGCTGAAGTTGTATATTTATAATATAGCTTCAGATACCTTATTATTGTTAATTATTTATGCACATTAAAAGCCAGCATGCTTAATTCCAAGTAAAAAAGCCATTGTGTTGTCAAATTTTAGCTTTCATGGCCGGAACTAAGCAACAGAATATTGGTGTCACATATCCCGTTGCCTGCTTTCATCTACAGCTGGATTATCTGGGTTTTTATTTATTTATTTTATTGCAATCCCTGAAGTTTCAGAACCACCTTTAAAGGCAGCTCAATGTAGTGTGTATTACAGTTATCTAGACAAGACGGACCAGTGATCTGGTTTGATATAAGAAAACTTCCAATATTCATAACTAAAGCTCTTATAGTTGTTGACTTAAACGCACTTCAGTTTTAAGACAATGGGACTCTTAACAAGTTTAATGTGAACTGGATTGCAACTGAGTCCCCAGGGGAAATAGGGCAGAATATAAATAAAGTATTATTATTATTATTATTATTATTATTATTATTATTATTGGACTTAACAAATGGAATCATGGTGCTCATTTCCATTTCTAAGTTGAAGAGGCGGCACTGTCATGCGGCCGGCATGACTGCATCACACGCCGTTACCTTTCCGCTGAAGTGGTACCTATTAATGTATTCATGGTGGTGTAAAGAGAAACCCAGCTGCATCCTTAGTGGTTAAGTGTTGTGTAAATTGACAAATATTTTATAAATGTTTAAACATACTTTCAACGAGGTGTCACTTAAACTTGTAATCATCATTTCAAAGTGTTGTTTTTTTTTTTAAGATGCATTCTAGGATTACTTTCTTTGTCGTGCTACTCAGTAATTGATTTTTCTCATATAAAGCCATATTCAACCATTTAAAAAATTAAATTGTATTAATCCTATTTATGATGTATTGGGGTGTGTGTGTGTGTGTATCAGATCGCGAAATAGCTTATGGCCAAATCAGAAAGGATCACTACTTTTTAAAAAGATGTTCTGAACTTGTAAGCACAAGACAGAAAAGCTATTGCACTTGATCTCTCTTTCTTTTAAGCACCATATGGTGTTTACTCCTGAACACCAATTTCTCTTTAAACCACCTGTAGACGGGCAATCACAAGCCACTAGATTTCATGCTTCATCTCCGGCCCCTTCTACACTGACATATGATTCTGATTATCAAAGGAGATAATACACATTATCTGCTTTGAACTGGATTATATGAGTCTACACTGCCTTATAATCCAGTTCAAAGCAGTTAATCTGGATGCTATATGGCAGTGCAGAAGGGGGCTCTTTTGAAGCACCTTTCATCCATAACCAGAGTTTTGTCAGCTCATTAATCATGATTAATGCTAACCAGGGTTCACTTTTTAAACTGGCTCATGTAACCTTCTTTAAAAAGTGTATATTGCAGTTGGACTTTTGAGGCCATCGAAGTGTGAGATGTAAACTTGAATTCAATGTTATTTTCTTTTTTCTGTACATACAAGATCAGATTTTCTGAGTAACTACAATCTCATTCCAACAGTTGGTAATGCAGTTACATAGGTAGAATTATTGGTAAAATTGAGTGTTGTACTAGGAGTGGGAACACTTCTGAATGATCCAGAAGTATAATTGCCCCCTTGGAAATAAAAAAAGGATCAAATGTGGAAAGACTTCTCTCACAGCCCATTGCCAGTTGTGTTGACTTTTTCTTTGCGGGGAATTTTTGGCACAGATCATATTTGTATGACCCATGTCATTTTGACAATCTGTAATGGCTCAGTCTACTACATTCAGATGTACTTTAGATCAAACCAGATTCTTAATTCAAAGGGAGTACAGTGGGACCTTGACTTAAGAGTGTTCCAACTTAAGAGCAGTTTGAATTAAAAGCTAGTGCCAGGGGGAGTGCCAGTGCCAGAGGGAGCTATAGTGCCAGAGAAAGCTTTAGGGCTCCAAGGAAGCAGGCTCCATGCCTCGTGCTCTTACCCATTTCAGGAAATTATTTTCTGTTCTTGTTCACTTTAGGAGATTGCTGTCTGCTTTGCTCTTGTCCGCTTTGAGGAACATTGGGTTAGTTGATTTTGTGTGGTTTTTATTCCTGGTATGTTCGGCTTCATAAAGAGAGAGCGCAAGAGAGGGAGGGAGACTGGAATGAATACAGTATGAAGAAAATGATTCTTCTGCCTCTTTGCTTTGTGCCACAACTTTGTACTTCTACCTTTTAAATGTTGATCTTTCTTTTGTTTACTGTTGCATGTGAATGTGCATGTTTTCCCTTGCACATTCTGGACGCTGGTCAACACACATTTTGTTTCTTCAAATGTGTTTACTTGCCACAACTTTGTACTTCTTCCTTTTTAAAGCTTCCTTTTTTATTGTTCTATCTGAATGTGCATTTGTACATAATTTGTTATAAAGTACATTTTCTTGTTTTAAAACATCTAATAAACAATGGGGGGGGGGTTGTTGGATCAATAGCATTTCAATGGGGAAATGCTTTGAGATGAGAACAATTTGAGTTAAAATTATTAAGTCAAAATTATTAAGTCAGATTATTAAGTCAAGGTATTATTGAGATGTTGCTTTTTAACTTGAGCAGTTTCTTTTTTTCTTTTTTTGTCAAACTGAATTTGAAGAGAGCATTAGTCATCAAGCTACATCTTGGCAAAGCAAAATATAGCAGAAAGGGTCCCCCTGGGGAGATAGGACGAGATAAAAATAAAGTTTTATTATTATAAAGGGCTATTGAGTTTCATATTATGCAAGAGATTAACTTCTGTAGAAAGAGAATAATAGATGCAGTGTCTGATTTTCTTTAATGGTCACAACAAGGCTCTCACAACTTCAGGATTAGGAAAATATCAGCTTATTATGCATTCTCTTTCTCATATCCTTGAGTCACTTCCTTGTTTCGACAAGCATGGAGGGTGGTTCTCTGGGGCTAGAGGCAATCTTAGAATATCAGCCAGATCTTTGACAAGAATTGTCCTGGCTATTATAACTTTGAAAGGGCACCCTCCCTTCTATATGGGAGGGAGAGGGTATAGTAAAATTGAAGTCTTTAGCTTTCTTTGACAGTGATAGTTTAACAAAAAGCAGATTTTATCCACAGTAGCCCACCATGGCAAGCTAGAGCCATACATCCTCTAAAATCCCTGCCAAGACTATGTGATTGTTCAGTGGTTTTAATTTTATTTGATTTTGGAGGAGTGTGTGTGTGCGTTTATTGTGTGAATAATATTTACTTTGTTGTCTGCAGTTTAGACCTAAAAAATACATACAAAGCACAGACCAAAAGTTGCAAATCTACTGGAATGTGCCATGTCCTCAATTCTGTATTGATAGTGCCCTCTATTGTTGAGATAGAAATTTTCCTTTTTTGTACAGTGAACTAAATGTGATAGCTAAAAACAAAATTAGTGTTGAAAAATGTAGCATTTTCAGCTAAGGGTAATAATGCACAATCAATTCCTTTTTCACATCAATTTTCACAGATTTGTATTCTGCGTTATATATAGATCATGTGCTTAGTCTACTTGAATTTTCATAAGGAGTTAGTACCTGATCCAGTTGGTTTGGAAAGAGTAAGTAGTCTAGGGTGCTAAGTAGTCTGAGCTATTAATATAGTTTCTTCAAGCTGGGGATGTGAGAGAATCCCCCCACAAGGATGGTAATGCATCAAAAAAATCTGGGCGTCCCTGTGCAACATCCTAGCAGACAGCCAATTCTCTCACACCAGAAGCGACTTGAAGTTTCTCAAGTCACTCCTAACACTGGAGAAAAAAAGCTGGTTTTGATTTAGTTTTGATTCCGTACTGGTGGCTAATATTTTTCTTTCTTTCCCCTTTAAGTTCACAAAAATGTGTAGGACCAACGGCTTGTCAGAAGATATTATATGGAACTGCAAGACATTATTAAGAGAGAGGGATGTTGTTTTAAAACTAATGAATAAATGTGAAGAGATCTCAAATAAACTGAACAAACAAGTGACAAGAATCACTGGAAAGGAGGGAGGTGGATGGAATATTGAGCAGCCTTCCATTCTGAATCAAAGGTTGGTACAATTTCACTTTATTGCTGAAAGTGTGCACAATGCAGATTCATAGAAAGCTGTCTTGAAAAATTAAATACAGAGATTGGCTTTTAAAAGTGGGCAGCAGCCAGAATCTTACTTGAGTCTGTGCATCCAGTCTTAGAGGCTTACATGGAGTTATATTTCTCTTTTTCTTGCAAATGGTTGTCTGTATTGAATATTATTTTTAAAAAAATACGCAATGTAACTAGCTTTTCCTGAGACTTGCTATCATTTCATAAGTTGCTGATCACCCATTTGGAGTTTCCATGAGAACTTAATGATGTCCTTTCTTTTATATGTTCAGCATGGAGCTTAAGCCATATCAGAAGATTGGTTTAAACTGGCTAGCACTTTTGCATAAACATTCACTGAATGGCATTTTAGCTGATGAAATGGTAAGTTGAAAATTCAGATATTAATTTAATCAGATATCTTTCTATTATGCTCTTTTGCACATTTTCCAACATTGCAACCAAAAATAGCTCACATAACAAAGTTAAACAGTGAAATGTTGGTTTCTAATTTTGGTTTCTAATCGCAAATAGTGATTACATTCTGTTTTATATTTGCTTCACTTTTCACATAGGGCTTAGGAAAAACCATCCAAGCAATTGCATTTCTGGCATATCTTTACGAAAAAGATGATACAGGTCCACATTTGATTGTAGTGCCAGCATCAACGATAGGTAAGATATGTCATAAATAGTTTTTAAGACAGCAGTTAAATAGAAGTTACATAGGAATGAGCTTAGCTGAACTGACTATCACATAACTTTCAAGTAAGTAAAGTAAAGATAAAAGTTTCTCCTGACATTAAGTCTAGTCCAACTCTGAGGGGTGGTGCTAATCTCTTTCAAGTAAATTTCCATAGAATTTGCTTCATGTGCTCTGATTTTTTTTTAAAAAAAACTACCGTATATTCCGGCATATAAGGCGACTGGGCGTATAAGACGACCCCCAACTTTTCCAGTTAAAATATAGAGTTAAGACGACTCCCGTGCATAAGACTACACCCGTGTATAAGACGACCCCTGACTTTTGAGGAGATTTTCTTGGGTTAAAAAGTAGTCTTATACGCCAGAATATACTGTATATGCCTATGCAGGAATGTTGATTTCATTTTTTCACTTTGTACAGTATCATGTTTATCAGTAATGCTATTGTCATGATGGTATAAATGATATACATGTATAACTTTATAATGTTTTATTTAAAAAAAATACATGTACTATTCTTTGCCCAAGGAATTTAGAGTAGCATATATGGGATTGCGCTTTAGTAGGAGAATCTTACTCATTTCTTTACAACAGTGGTTCCCAAACTGTGATCTGTAGACCACCAGTGATCCACAAGAACTAAAATATGGTCCGCTGCCTCACCGTTACTACACAGTTGCAACGAGAGCAACTGGTCTCGCAAAACCCTGTTATAGTGCCGAGGCTTATTAGATATGGTTTTCCTTGGGTGAGCAGATGGCAAGTACTGGATTGCATATGTTCTGTATCAGAAACTAGAGCTGATGTGGTCTGTCCAATGCAATTTTCTTAATCAGCACCCTAAATAACCAAACCAAACCTAAAGTTGACCAAAAACTGATTCATATTCCTTTTGGAGAGTGGTCCCTGGTCAAAGTGGTCACTGGTCAAGTGGTCCCTAGTCACAAAAAGGTTGGAAACTACTGCTTTAGAGAAACACAATTGATTTCAATGGATTTCTCAGATACGTGCGACATAAGTTCAGCTGAGAGATGTGAACAGACTGAAGGATGCCAAATGAATTTCATGGCTAAGCATGATGATCCTTTCAATCTATCTTCATAGTACAGATTTATTAAAACAGTTTTAGAATTGTATATTAATGCGGGGACTCACGTTGATCTGAATGTGCAACTGTAAATACCTTCACAGTAATTACTCAGACCTTTTTTTAAAAACTAGATAACTGGATAAGAGAAGTTAACCTGTGGTGTCCTGAACTTCAAGTCTTATTTTATTATGGTAAGAAATTCTGTTTAAAATAAAATGTAAGTTGATATACAAACCTTTGAATCGATTTATTTACCAAGACGGCATATAAGAAAAGCAACATATATGCCCGAAATGCTTTTACTGGTGTCGCATAAGAGCATTATCATGTGCAGTCAAATTATTTGTTTAGGGTTTTCTAGAACTGCAATGAGAAATATTTTTCCCTTCTAGGATCTCAGGATGACAGGAGGCATCTGAGAATGGATATCCATAATAAAGCGGTAGATTTCAATGTGATCATAACAACGTAAGCATATAAGGAAATTTTAGCTATTTCTTTTCTCCCCAGAAGGCATTTCGCTCTATCATATCTTCCCACTTCATCATGAAGGTGAATCTGATCCAGACATTCCATGTAAAGTCCAGGTTGTTACTATACAAAGAAGGAGGCGCATTGTGTATTGCCTGGAATTATAGGAAGGAGGTTGAATTCTAGTAGAATTCCCACTGAGGCATTTATTTCCTTCTTCTATGCAATGAATGTCACAGTGTGGAAAATAGTTAGCGTTAAAGGATAGATATAACCATTTGCTCGTGGAGGTGCATGCTGCAGAGTTCCTATGTGTTGTTTTGGCTCATGAAAAGCCTGATATTGGTGCTCCAGGATGGCATGAAAAGTGAACTTGGAACCAAAATGTCAATTGCATGAGGGTTATCCAGAAAGTAAGGTTACAAGGCATGTAGCTCTCGCAGGGAATTTTCGCGGGGAAAGTTGGTATCTCTTCCATGTAGCGGGAAGCCAACGGAAGCGAACGAGCACTGCTAGTTGTGAGTAGCTCATCTACTGCCGTTGTGGTGAAGGTTAGAGATGAGCGTCCTCATTCCGTTTCCCTCCAAGTGCCAAGTTCACACTGTAATATTCTACCTAAATGCTAAGGGCATGAATGCCACTGCAATTCATTGTGAAATCGTTCAGTTTATGGAGAGGATGTAATATCAAGACAGCTTGTGACAAAATGGGTATGGAATATATTGTGAGACCATGAAGAAACTTCGCAGAGCCATCCAAAACAAACATTGTGGGATGCTGATGGTTGGAGTCTGTCTCCTTCATGACAATGCACGTCCGCACACCGCTCATGCAAAACAAGAGTTGCTGACTTCATTTGGTTGGGATGTTTTAAGCCACCCCTCTCACAGCCCCGATCTCGCACACAGTGACTCTCATTTGTTCACTATAAATTGAAGGAACACCTTGGTGGAAAACACTTTTCCAACAACAATGAGGTTAAAATCGGAGTGACAAACTGACTGAAAATGGCAGAAGGAAACTCCTTTGATACAGCCATTAAAAACCCGTCCCACAGTTAAGTAGCTGTTATGTGTAAATGAGTGTTAGCTGCAGGACATGAAGATTAAAAGTGCATCTTTTTATCTGCCTTTCTAGATTTTATGACTGTCAAAAGGTAATTTATTTTTACAGAAGAAGAAATATGTTATTGTTTGTCCTCTTCATAGGTATAATTGTGCAATTAGCAGTTCAGATGATCGGAGCCTGTTCCGACGAATGAAGCTAAACTATGCAATCTTTGATGAAGGTCACATGTTAAAAAACATGGGTTCTATACGCTATCAGCATCTGATGACTATGAATGTAAGACTTTGATTTGTCCTTACTTAGGGCATTTTTAAGATGTTCAAGAATAAATTATGATTCTGTCAAAAGGAAATTATTTTCATATGCCATACTTATAGGAATAATTCATTTTATTTTTAACCTGCCCTCTCTCCCCAGAGGGCGCTTTCCAAAGGCAAAAAATGGCAAACATTTAATGTCATATGCAGTAACCCAAAGGGCATTAAAGCAAACTATTAAAAATAAACAAATCAAACACCATTAACTGAATCAAATCAATCAGTCTTGTAAATAAATTACAGTAACAAGGTAGCATTTAGTATTGAGTAAGCATACTCAGGATTGTAATTTAATCCAGATACACCAGAATTTGTTTCTCAAATTCTAAAAACAATTAAAAATTGGCATTAAATTGTTCCCTTGGATTGAAGTTTAAATCTGTTCATTAAAAATTCTTTTGAAGGCCAAGAGAGAAGAAGCCCCTGCCCCGTAGTACCATAAGATTGTCGTTATTTGCTTTTTCACATATGGGATTCCTGTTTATAAAATGCAGCTTTTACTCATAATAATAATAATTATAGCAACAACAACAACCATCTCCGCGAAGGGACTCAGGGCATCTTATATGTGGGACCAAGCCCAGAGACAACAACAAAGTTTACCAACTAAAACGTAATGAAAAACATAATGAGTTATCACAATCCAATTAAACAATTAAAAACAACAGGGTGTAAAAATCATTAAATGTATAAGAAGTAAACCTCGATAACCAGTGACCAGAAATATAGGGGACATAATCAGAATTAGCGAGAGCTGGGTATGAGAGTGTGCAAAAACATAGACTATAGGGCCAGGGCTTGGGGTAAAGTGCTGAGTATAATCTATCTGTCAGTTAGGGTTAAGCATTCATGAACGGGGGCTGAACCAAATGCACAAGTGGCAGAATGTGAAACCACTCTCTTTACAATCAATTGCATGAGTCATTTTGACGTTGTGGGGAGTCTGTCTTTTATTTTCTGTGTTTGTGTACTACACATCTAAATAACTTATTGGCTATGCATTCAATAGATTGTAGAGAACTTTTTTGGATATTTAGCTATTATTGATCTGAATCTTTAGCAGATAAATGGCTGTAGATATGATAAAGTGACCCAGAAGTGCAAATGTTGTAAACTAGTTTCTTACTTTCAGCATCTTACAAAAAAAATTTTTTTCATGAGTCCTACTTAATTACAGTTATTTTTGTTTGGAAATAGGCAAAAAACCGTTTGCTGCTAACAGGAACTCCAGTGCAAAACAATCTTTTGGAACTTATGTCTCTCTTGAATTTTGTGATGCCGCACATGTTCAGTAGTAGCACCAGTGAAATTCGGAGGATATTCTCTTCTAAAACAGTAAGTATATTTCGAGTGTATTTTTACTGCTCATAAACACAGATTGTCGGGTTTTTATATCTTATCCTAACAGACAATTAAAAGCCATGTTTCAGAGACATGTCCCTGTGTCTTTAACCTGACAGCTTCATAATTATCCCTTTTTAAAAATAATAATTAGTGGGTATATTAATATCAATAATAATAATATAAACCGCCTTTTCTCCCTGCAGGGATTCAGGGTGGTTTACAGAAAGGACAAAAATGGCAAACATTCAATGCCAAAAAAAACAAATAAACAACAATCAAAGCAAACAAGAAATCAAATAACCCAATAAAAATCACAAACAAACTAAAGTCAAGGGTAAGACTAAGTAGACGTAATAAGTACAATGAGTCAAACAAATTCAAACACTATACATTAAAAGCACAATATAATATATTGTGTCAGCAGGCTAAGGAAGTATCCAATGTTGGGCGAGAAAATGAGTGTGTTAAAAATCACATCCATACATCGCAGTATTTCATAGAGCAAAATATTTATACTTAGAAATCATGTCTGTATATCATATTACATACACCAGAGCATTAATTGCATTCCACAGGGATAAATACCATTTTAATTCAGGTTCATGCAGCTTGATTACACTGTATATGTTTTTTGCTTTTGCTTTTTCTTATTAGAAGACCTCTGAGGAACACAGTGCATATGAAAAGGAAAGAATTGCACACGCCAAGCAGATAATCAAGCCTTTCATCTTGAGAAGAGTAAAGGAAGAGGTATGTTTCTATTTTAAATTACTAAAATTGCTACAGTGTGAAAAATCAGATTGGTTCTTAAACAGAACTATTTTTCAAGCCAGTGTATATTATGACCCATGTCTAGTCCCCCAATGATTTAAAAGTTTGTTTTTGGCCCACCAGGTCCTCAAACAGCTACCTCCCAAAAAGGATATTGTGGAGTGGTGTGACATGTCTGAGAAACAAGAAAAGCTATACCAAGATCTCTTCAGCTCCTTAAAGAAATCGATTGACAGTCACGGTAAGCATGTTTTAATTTTTTTCTCCAGCCTTCCCCCAGTCCCATTTTGTTCTACAAAATAAGTTGCTGACCTCTGTTGAGTTTGCAGGGGTGTGTGTGCCTTCAAATCTTCTGTCAACTTAGATGGATCCCATGAATTTCATAGGGTTTCCTTAAGCTTGGAATATACAGTGGTAATTTTGCCTGTATCGTCCCCTGAAAGATTGCCTTCAGCACTTAGTATTTATTGCCAGGCTCTCAAAAAGGAGGAGAAGGAGTGCCAACAAATTTTACTGCACACACTTGGAGGTAGCAGTATAATTTATAATTTGTTCATCTTTTTTTGTTTATAGAAAAAAATACAGAAATGGGGAATGTAATGATGCAGCTAAGAAAAATGGCCAACCATCCTCTCTTACATCGCCAGTATTATACATCTGAAAAACTTAAGGTGATGTCACAACTCATGCTCAAGGTAAGATGCTAGATTTAAATACTACAATGTTCTATTGGTGCCTTTATGCCTGGGATTGAGCCAAACAGCAATCATTCATGTCTGTGTTTGGCATTAAGGAACAGTTTTGAGCAAGGCAAAAAAAATAATAATCAGAGTATCTTTAGCAAAAGATTGCTGCAGTTGTAAACGTGTCACAAATTGTAGGAAGAAATAAATAAAGGGTGAAATGTTTTATGAGCTATCATGAAAGGATGATAAATAGAAAGTGAATATGAGATTAATTGGTTGTGTCTAAAGCACAGTTCAGTGTAAAATGCAGGATCCACAACGAACATTCAGGTCTCCTTTTCTCTCTTCTTGCATATGATCAAGAGAGGTTTGGATATTTTAAAATTTTGATTAACACCATGTTGGGATTTTTAAAATTTAATCTTACAGAAAGATTTAATCTTTTCTCCATATCTTCTACAATTTCACCATCTGCACAGTCCAATTTAAAATAGGGATAGGGCTTCGTATTGGCATTATGTCTGAAAAACAGTTGTTGTGCTAATCCTGTGATCAACAGTTCATATGTGGTGTGATGGTTTTATAAGCTATATGCGCAACTGTTAAATGTATTTGTTTTTGAATGATCTCATTAATTCCTAAACAGCTCCCTCAATTTCTACCTGTTTGTTTTTAGGAACCTACGCACTGTGAAGCAAACCCTGACCTTATATATGAAGATATGTCTGTGATGACAGATTATGAATTGCATCTGCTTTGTAAACAATATGCAAATATCAGTGACTTCAAACTTGAGATGGACCTTATTTTGGATTCTGGAAAATTTAGAACATTGATACACATTTTAACTGAGTTCAAAGAAAAGGTTGGTTTTACCTGTGTATCTTGGACATTTTGTAATGCTACATTTATAACATTTTGTAATGTCATATTTGCAGTGTAGTGAACTCAGCTCCTCTCCTGTTCTGATTGCATAAAAGCCTGTAGAAACCATTAAGGGTGTCAGGCTTGGATATGGAAATCCTGGTTTCAAATCTCTGTGAAGTTTTTTAGGTGGCATTATAGGCATAATACTAACCATATCTAACGTGCCAGCATTTTTTATACTATTCTGAACTCTTTTTTCACTTGCCTCACTATGTTGATTATTAACCCTGTTCATCATTCTGACTGGCATTCATTGCATCTATGATAGTGTACCATCCTTAAATATGTAAACAGGTGGCTTCAGCTTCCTTGGAGAAAGGGTGGCATCATGTATCTTAGAAATTGAAGGTGCAGATATTTTAAAAAAATGTGCATTAGGTTCTTGAATATTCAAATCTGAAACAAAAAGGTTTGTGTTGTCGAAGGCTTTCATCGCTGGAATCACTGTGTTGCTGTGAGTTTTCTGGGCTGTGTGACCATGTTTCAGAAACATTCTCTTCTGTCGTTTTGCCCACATCTATGCAGGCATCCCCAGAGGTTGTGATAACTTCTGGAACATGGCCATACAGCCCGGAAAACACACAACAACCTACACAAAGGTTTGTTTACAAAATACCTTAGAGCTCCAACTGCAGAAACTGACAGAAGCACTGTCTGCAGTATGGTACTTACATTCATGTATCTTTTTGTACTGTTTTAGACCAACAATATGATTACTCTTGGACCAGTGTCAATGTATTTTATCTATTTCACTTACTTACAGCTTAGTGTGGTCAAGTTTTGCTTTACTACTAGCATAGTAGAGGTTTATTTAGTAGTGGACTGTCGTCAGGCAAAGATGGGAATGAGATAGTCTTTTCTCTCTGCTTAATTTTTGAATGCGGACTTTCAGGTAACTCTGATTCAAGTCATATATGCATCAAACTGAAATAGATACTTGAAAAATATCTCCAGTTTTTTGTACTCCTGGTTCTCAGAAAGGATGTGGTTTTACTTATAAATCTGCTCTTTCCTCCTTTAGGGTAATAGAGTTGTCCTTTTTAGCCAGTTTACCATGATGCTGGATATCCTAGAAATTCTTCTGAAACATGAGCAGCATCGATACCTTAGGCTGGATGGAAAAACACAGATTGCTGACAGGTTGGTAAAACCACAGTGATAATACAAGAACACCATAAGCAGGTCCAGCTAATATTAATGTTCTTGTGTTTGGATTTGATTATGGATATTTGGATGCAGTTTGGACAAAACCCCAGATGTAGTTTGGAGGAAACATTTCAGTGGTCTCTAGAAGGTTCAAAATATTCTTGTTTACTAATGCAAGGCATATCTGATCTAGTCATTTCATTTTGTGTTGAATACTATTAGCTTTGAATTTAAAAAAAACCCTTCGGTGAAACATTGTATTGTTCTTTTTTGGCATTGGAACATTTCCCCATTATTTCCATTTTATTTCTACCTTTGGTTCCAAATTTTCTGCTAAAGAAGTAATGTTCAGGAACTTGTCTACTTCATTAATTGTGGTTTATCTGTATTATGTACAATGCCCGTTGATCTATAATTAATAACAAACAGAGTAACTGAAAAGAAAACTATAAGTGACTGATAAGATGAACGAAGAAGTTTGAAACTGATTGCATGTTCATGTATACCATTGATTTGTTTATCTAAATTCAGTGGATGACAACTAAAATGTGCATTGACGCAATTGAAATACTTTGTGACTGAGGTAATAGGAAAACCATGTCTGTGGGCTGAGGTCAGTGATGGGCCATTTGCTCACACGCTTGATGCCTCAATCCATGTGAACAGGCATGGGTACATTTTCCCCTATAATGTGGTAAAATTGTGGAAGGCTACCCCAAGTTGCACACTAATGAATATTTTGTTTTCACTCTGTTCCGTAGGATACATCTGATAGATGAGTTCAATTCAGATATGGGCATCTTCATTTTCTTGCTTTCAACTAAAGCTGGGGGTCTTGGGATTAATCTCACCTCAGCCAATGTGGTCATTCTTCATGATATTGATTGTAACCCTTACAATGACAAGCAAGCAGAAGACAGATGTCACAGAGTAGGGCAAACCAGGTATGGACTTGTTTGTTAAATGTATGATGGGAGCAGATTTATGTGTTACATATGTTTTGAATTCATACAGGATGGGTGAATGTAAACTAGCATAAGTGACATATATTGAATAAAGCTTGCTTCTCTTTCCTATTTATCTCCAACCAATACTTAAATGGTAAACCAGTTGATTGCTCTAGAGAAGAAACTCTTTGCTATGCAAGAAGGTTTTTCACATTCCTAGGAGTATGCTTCCTAGTTACAGAAAAAGTCTCCCAATGTTTAAGAGATGCTCTTCGGTTCAGATGGTTGTTCTCTATGTGCTAAGAGTTGATGATTGAAGAAACAAGGCCAGTGTATTTTCTCCCTCTCACAAGCTTATGGTAATCCTGGTTTGAATTTCTGAATAGAGTTTAGTTATTATTGCCACTGCATGGAAACAAGTGTTTTCACTCAGTTCAGAATTAAGTTTACAGTGTTACTAGCTGTACCCACCAGGCGTTGCTGTGGCCAACTTTCCCTCCCTCTTTTTCTCCTTCTTTCTTACTTTCCTTCCTTCCCTCCCCCCTCTTTTTTTCCCTTTTTTCCCTTCCTTCCTTCCTTCCTTCCTTCTCTACCTCCTTCCTCCCCTTCCTCTTTCTTCCTCTCCTTTCTTCCTTCTCTACCTATTCTTGGACTGTAATTCCCAGCAGTCCTCCTGATTGATCTATCTACCTACTACCTATCTCTATCTAATCTATATATCTTATCTATCTGGAGGATTGCTAGGAGTTACAGTCCAGGAATAGTAAATAGGAAATGTGTATGGATAGGGATGCTCTCAAAAAAAATCCAAGAAGAAGCAAGCTTGCAGCTTGGAAGTTGGGCATTTAGAGCATCCTCTTCCTCTAAAGGGCCTAGTCTAGGGGATGTTAGGAGCTGTCGTTTTTGTGCAGGTGCTGTATTGTCATTTAGCTTTTTTGGGTTTTTAAGTCCTTTCTGCTGTTTTTTGGGAGGGGGTTATGAGTGACGGTCACTCATTGGTCTGTTAGGAGTGTAGTGTCAATTTGTCCAGTGGTTTTTGAGTTATATTAATCCCACAAATGAACATTACATTTTTATTTATGTAGATATTGTTTCTTTAGAGAGGTGTGTTTAAGAGGACACCATACTCCCTTCAAATATAAATTAGGGCACAAACACTGTTTTCTGTAAAAAGTGAAATGCAAGCAATAAGTTGCTCTGGCTAACTCAGTAACATTGGTTTACAGAATTATATAAGCACTGGGTCTTTCATTTTCATTTTTAGAGAAGTGAAAGTTATAAGGCTCATAAGTAAAGGAACTATAGAGGAATCTATGCTCAAAATCAGCCAACAGAAGTTAAAACTTGAACAAGACATGACAGCAGCAGATGCAGGTAAGTTCTAATAATAATAATAGTAACTACTACTACTACTACTACTACTACTACTATTACTTTATTTTTATACCCCACCACCATCTCCCCTAGGGGACACGGGGCAGCTTGCAAAGGGACAAGCCTGAAGATTACAAATAAAACAAACACATCTGACTAAAGACATCTGACTACATAAATACATTGCAGTTCAAGCAAAACCTAGTTTAGTTAGTCTGCAACACGAAAGGAGTGCCAAAAGGAATGTTTGTTGGTTTGCAAAATCATCTTAAGACACGGAAAGGCCAAGAGCGAAATGTCTAATCTCCTTGCCTTGGATCAGTGTGGTTAGAGTTTTGAGATTTAGCTGTGATGAGCATTGGTTGCCCTTGAGCTAATGTCTGCCTTGGAATCATCCCAGGATTGTTGTGATGATAAAATGGGGAGGAGAAAGAAACATGTTAAGTTTCTCAGAGGGAAAACCCAGAGATATAAATATAATTAAATATGTCTTAGATTAATTGGGCTGGGTTGCTGCTTTTAATGCCACCTGTGAGTGCAACTAACTTATGCTGCCATGCAACCAGTAAGAGGTTGTTTGTTTCACTGTTTTCTTCGTTACTTAAAGAAATTCCTGAAAGAAAGAAATTGGCAACAAAACACAAGTGTCAAAGTGTGAGGTCGTGTGTTAGGGGCCTAGGGCAATTGCTTCCTGACTGTTTGCTTTCATTGTATAGGTTATAAACACTGTGTTTTATGAAATGCTTCATACATGTGCCTCTCTGATACATTCCTTTTCTTCTGCAGGAGAAGAAGGGGCCATTCCAGCTGATATAGCAACCCTATTAAAAACATCGTTAGGTCTCTAATAATTATGTAAAGAGAGGCGTTGTACATATTTTTTTTATTGGAGGAAAAATAAAAATGTGGTGCTTCAAGACGTTTTTGTTATTAAATACATTTGTATGGACATTTCTAACTTTTTGTAATTACCTGTTGTCTTGCTCATGACATAGTTCCTCCTCCCCTCCCCACCCAAAAAAAAAAAAAGACTGGTACTCAAAGGCAAAATGTAGATTGAGGCAAAAACATAGTGCATAGCGCATTTAAGGTAACTCACCAATGCAGTTTTAAAGGGGACCCCAATTGCAATGGAACAGCTAAGACTTAAAATTGTTCCATATTTTTGTAATTATTTCTACCTCCAAATATATATATAGAACCTATTTCACTGGATGTGTGGTTTTTTTTAATGTGCCTTATTTTAAATGCTCATATTTGTTGTCTCTTTGCTTGTTTTTATTTGAAGTACTGTAATGTTTTGTATGCAATTTGTTCACATAATAAAATTTGACCCTCACAGATGTGTTTTGTTAAATGGTTATTTGAAAGACAAGAGGGAACAGGGTCATCACATGTACTTTAAGCGAAATACTGTAACTTTATAATGAGGCCTTCTCCGTACTGGTTCTTCAGAATTCTTTAACTGGGACTCTTTATATTTCTGGAGATCATCCTTTGATGATTTTCAGAAAATGTATTAAATTATTATTTTTTAATTTAATGTTCCTAATCACTTTTCATTTGTCCAACTACGTAAGATTAAGAATGTATGGACTGAGTTTCTTGTTAAGGTGTAATCCTGTGGCTTTATAGATAAAGTTTCTTTTGAATTTTATGAGACTAGGCAAGATTATAACTGAAGTGTCTAAGATACTGTGCGCTGTACAAAAACACAATAAAAAGGACAGGTCCAGTATAATCTAATTAAATGCAATAAAGTGTTTCCTGACTCTTATCCTTTCGCTTTCCTGGAGTAATTGATCTTTTTTTGTCATTGTGTCTTCCTCTATATCTCTCAGTATCTTTTATGAGACTCATATTAGGTCTAGTAGTTTGTGTACGCCAATGTTGTATTTTAAATCATGATCAGTTAAAAGAGTATGATTACAATAAGTCCGCCAAAAAAAAAAAATCAAAAGGGGAAGAATTGGAATAATAAACTCCAGAACTTTGTCAGTCTATTATGAAAAGTTATTACTCTATACAGAGGACAGTCCAGCAAGTCATATCTCGCCAGGAAAAGGTACATCTGGCATACCAGTCATAGCTGATAAAGGGTACCACTTGAGTACCCAAAAGTAATGTATTTATATTTAATACTCCTTGAAAGAGAGAGTGAACTGTAAGACTAAATAATATATATGTTGTCGAAGGCTTTCATGGCCGGAATCACTGGGTTGCTGTGAGTTTTTTGTGCTTGTATAGTCATGTTCCAGTAGCATTCTCTCCTGATGTTTCACCTGCATCTGTGGCAGGCATCCTCAGAGGTCTGTGGGAATGAGCGAAGTGGGGTGCATATATATCTGTGGAATGTCCAGGGTGGGAGAAAGAACTCTTTCTGTTTGAAGCAAGTGTGGATGTTCGCCGATTCTCCAGTATGAGGTTGTGCACAGCATCAACGATCTCAAACAACAACCACTGTCAGTCGTCCAGGACGTTCCACATCATTGGTGCTGAAGTAGCCCGTTTAAAATTTGGGAACCCAGTTCTTAACTGTAGAATATGAAGGGCATTGATCCCCCAGTGTCTGTGACATATCACCATGAATATCCTTTGTGGACTTTCTTTGCAGAAACAAGAATTTTATCGTATTGTCGAAGGCTTTCATGCCCGGAATCACTGGGTTGTTGTAGGTTTTTTCAGGCTATATGGCCATGCTCTAGATATATAAACCCATTTTCCTAGTTCCAACAGATTTCACTACCTCTGAGGATGCTTGCCATAGATTGCGGGCGAAACATCAGGAGAGAATGCCTCTACACCATGGCCATATAGCCCGAAAAAACCTACAACCCAAGAATTTTATCATTCCTCTGCTCTTATTTGCTGTGAATATCACCTTAGACTCTACCATTTTGTTTTCCCACGTGCCTAGATCACTGTTGCCATAAGCTACAAACCACAAAATTTCGAAAACATATTAGACACATAAGGCTTTCATGTGATGTAACATTCATTACCATAGAAACAAAAAAAGAACTCAAAGCCAAAGACTTATTAGCAGCTCCTCATATATGCAAGATAACATTGTGGATAGGAAAAATAAATATACCAATAGATACCCAGGGGGCAATGGGAAGGGAAATGGGGAAAAACTGATAGCCAAGGCTTAGGGCAACAGAAAATAAAAGAAATTAAACCAGACTATCTTTACGATCCAACAAACTGCACTAAAGTAAATGTATGACTGTTACCAGAGGGAGGGGTGAAATAGTGGGAAAGGGATGGAAACAAGTAGCGAGGAGGGCGATTACATATGAAAACCAGGCAATCCGCTGAGAGGGATTATGTTAAAATTTGGAAAAATAAATTTAATAGCTTTTTCTCTTGATCTACTAAGGTAAGCTCAGCTGCTGAACAGATAATTGGTAAAATACATCAAGGAAAGGGTCTGTTGAGAAAAGTTTGAGAAATGTTACAGGACATGCATGTTTTCCCCCACAAGGTGGCAGCATTAGAACTCTAAAAATGCACAAGGTCAATGAGACAAGATGGGATTAATATGAAGAAAGGAAAGGATAGCCAAATAAAAGATCCATTTACAAAGGTTTTGCACCGTAACTATAAACCTGTAAAAAAAAAAGAGTCAGTCACCATTTAATGCAACACAAACCGATCAATGGAGTTTGCTAGAGCCAGTGCAAACCTGCTCATGAGCTCGATTTTGTTACTACCAATACCACACTGCTGTAATACAAACCCAAAAGTGGAAGCACATCTGTCAATCTATACAGGTCTGCTCAGAGCATTTTTAAAAGGGATATTATAAAGGTGGGACACATGCAGAAAAAGCAACCTAACGTATCGAGGCACTTGAGCTAACTCACCAATGAGGAGAATTTGGAACGTTGGGGAAAAAAGCAAATAAGGGATGGTAGAGGCCTAGACAGTTAACCATGATGTGAAATAGAGAGACTCCTTTCTTCCTCCCAAATAGTAGCACCTGGGATCATCTGCTAAGAAGTTCGAGACAAATAAAACTACTAATTGTGTATAATGAACCTGCGGAATCATCTGCCAGTTTGGATGTCTTTAAAGGATTGGATAAATTAATTGAAAATGAAGATATTATTGTTTACTGGAACAGAATGACTACTCATCATGTCCTGTCTCAAAGCTTATCTTTTTGCATTTGGTCAGTTGCTGGAGAGAGAAATTTTCTATAGAAATGCTTCCTTCAGATAAGTTAGTAGTCATGATGAACAAAAGCCTGGACTAGACAAATTTCTGACTTGTGTACATTCGCCAAGTTGTGTCCGGCCAGGTAAGTGTTTAAATTGCAGTATAAAACATCTTGCTTGGGACCTTTCTGCCAGCATTTTGGAGGACAATGAAGATCATTTTAATCCAGTATGTTTTTATTTATGTTTCTCTATAAATATATGCTTAAGGATTGTTATTAATGATTTCTTTTTTTGTTTGTTTTATGGAGAATTGTTATTTTCTGAGGAAAGGAGCTTTATGTCCATAAAATTTGAAAAGGCTGGAGTTGTGGGCAAGCATTTAAGTGTCAAATTGCAACTAGGAGGATCTTAGTTCAAATACTTACTCAACCACAAAGCACATTAGATCGCTTTATGCAGTGACTCTTACTCGGTGCAGTTACTTCACAGGGCAAAAATGGGATTGGTGACTCATGTAACTTAAAATCACATAATTTTACTGCTACCTTTGTCCTTTCCCTCATGGGAATTTAGCAGAATACATATTTACTAGCAGTCATGTTTTTTCCGGAGCCCCCGGTGGCACAGTGGGTTAAACCCTTGTACCAGCAGGGTCAGTGGTTCGAATCCAGGGAGAATGCGGATGGGCTCCCTCTGTCAGCTCCAACTCCCCATGTGAGGACATGAGAGAAGCCTCCCACAAGGATGGTAAAACATCAAAACATCCTGGCGTCCCCTGGGCAACGTCCTTGCAGACAGAAGTGACTGGCAGATTCTCAAGTCGCTCCTGACAAAAAAAAAAGTTTTTTTCACATGATTTAGATTTTGCATCAGTCTTACCATGTCTTCAAGGCAAGTAGGCTATCAAACTCAAAAACTGCCTCATGGCTCTAAACCAATTGTTTTTTGCTGACATGTTTACGGAAATACTATTTTATGAAAATGGGCAACTAATTATATAAAGTTTGTGCTCTTGGGCTGTATTTTTCTCTCTCTAGCATGGAACCATTTGAGGTACACCATTTCTCTGTTATAAGCCTTTGGACTTATAAGGGAGGGGGTTACAAAAAGACAATGATTCATATACCACAAACAAACAAACCCTGAATGAATAAATTACACTTCACAATTCAAGGCAACTCCTGCTTTTGCTTCTTCTTGTGTCCTTTGCTCCCATTTTTCTTGTGTCACTGTTTCTCTTTGGTGCCCCAGTTTACTAGCTTTTCCCTCTCTTGCAACCTGTTCGTCATTTTGATCTTTGCTCTCCTCCTGACGTGGGAGCAGTGCCCCCCATTCCCCTTTTGTCTACATTAAAGCCGTTTTAATAGAGTGGGCAGAGGTTAAGCTGGCAGAAGTCACGTCAGTGATCAAGCCCTCACGTGGACCCCAAAGCCTCATTTGCTAATGGGACAATCCCAGCTGACTAAAAATGGGAAAGAAATCATTGCATTTAGTTCATTGAAATAGTCCTGGATCTCCCCTGCACCCCACTTCCTTATGTGCAGGCTCTAGGAAGCCATAATTTTCTGCATCCATGAAGGAAATATGTGTATGTATTTATACACCTAATGGTTGCTAGAACAACCCATAAAAGACATCTACCTGATTATTACCAGAACAGCAATATACACAAGGCTAATATTAATTCATATTCGGAAGTGCTGCGTAGGACTTTTGTAAGCATCCTTGAAATGGTTCATAAAGTTTGAAGCAAAACTATCAACAGACAAAAAGCCAATGTGATTCCAGATCACATCAACAGAAGTACAGAGTCTATGTAACACCTTAATTTATAGACTGCCCTTTCTCCCCAAGGGGACTCAGGTCGGTTTACTCACAAAGAAGGCAAACATTCAATGCTCAAATTCAAATCCAAATATTTTTAAACAAATGGAATAATACAAAAATAATAACCATAAACTTGTGGCAAAAGAGAAATTAACATCAAAATGAGGACCAAATACAAATAATCGAATAAACCTAATTATACTAATAACATCAATTAACCATTTAAACATAAAGCCTAGAAAAGGTAATTAAAATACATTAAAATGACTATAAAGCTTGTTCATCTCATGTACCACAGCAACAGTGGACTACAGACAGGTTAGCCAGCATTCCGGTGGAACTGAAATGTCCTAATCCTCATCCTCTCCATATGCCAAAGTGCTCAAGTGTGTTTCCAAGAGCTCCTGCAAGTTCTCATTCCTGTCCACTTCTTGCAGCCAATGCTGGAGGAGTGGTTTCAGCTTACTCTTGTTCTTGAAGCTAAGCGGTAAAGCTTCAAAGTGACAGATGATGGTCTGGCTCAATGTCTTCCCATATAACAATCCCAGGGACAATCCCACGTCTGTCAGGTTGAAGCCCATTGTGATCCTTTTATGCTTCAGCTCCTTGGCAAATTATTCCATTTGTGCTGAGGTTGTGTTCTCCTTAAGTATTTCAGGCTCTGGTGAATGGCAGGGTCAAGCCCAGGTGTCCAAGAAGAAGGCCTTTTCTTTGCTCTTGGCAGGTGGCTTCAAGATATAAAGCAGAGCATCCCAGGCTCAGAAGGGAAGACAGGAAGGCCTCC